GCCCCCTCTCCCCGCTCCTCTTTGTTCTTGTCTTGGAGCCCTTTCTGCAGGGGATCCGGGACAACACTAACATCAAGGGCATCCAGACGGGGACGGAGGAGCACAAAATAGCGGCATTTGCCGATGATGTGCTTTTCACCCTGGCAGACCCAGTAGCATCAATACCCCACCTGATGTCAGAAATGGCTACCTACAGCACACTTTCCAACTTTAAAGCCAACATTAGCAAATGTGAGATCCTCCCGATACACATTGAAACACGAGAGAAAGAGGCCCTGCGCAGGGACCACCAATTCACATGGGCGACACATAGTATCAAATACTTGGGAATCAACATCACCAGGAACCTTTCCCAACTATTCGAGAACTACTTCCCCGAACTGATAAAGGCCATAACGCAAGACCTCACCACATGGAACAAGCCACACTTTGGGTGGTTCTGTAGGACGAACATCCTCAAGATGAACGTCCTACCCAGAATACTATACATACTGCAAGTGCTCCCTATAACTATTCCCAAGTCCTGGTTCACTACAGTCCGAAAAACACTCACCACATTTATCTGGGCTCACAAACCTCCACGAATATCGTACTCATTACTCACAAAACCTAAAGACAGGGGCGGCCTGGGTCTGCCCGATGTTGAAACATACCACAACGCAATACTGCTATCCAGGATATACGACTGGTCCCTCCCGAACTCCGGGAAACAATGGGTGACCTTAGAAGACTCCTTTTTCAGAGTACCTATCTACACGATACCCTGGCACAAATCAGGGCAAGTACTAATGCTCCACAACCCACATCCCACCATCACACCGACCCTTCGCATGTGGGCGACCACTCGCACACACAATCTGATGTCGCCCTACCCATCGCCACTATACCCGCTCACACACAACCCCCTATTCCAGCCGGGAGTAGACGGCAAATCTTTCCAGGCCTTCCATACAACGCCATATCTGACATTGGAGAATGCCTTGACAACTGTCGGGGCAAAAGTAACAAAGCCCTTACAAGCATTTATAGCTAACCCTACGGCTATGCAAACGTATCAGTACAGGCAACTGACACACTTTATTCAATCTAAATCCCTAACCCTCAACGGCAGCCGTGAACAGACTAACTTTGAAAAATGCTGTTCCCTCCAATCCATAAGAACAAAACACATATCAACAATGTACTCCCAAGTTCTATCCACAAGGCCACAACAATTGCCGGCCTTCACTACCACTTGGGAAAAAGAGTTAAACCTAGTAATACAGCCCGACAAATGGAAAAAAATTTTTAAACAAATACACAAATCCTCAAAAAACACAACCACACAGGAAAGCAACTATAAAAGAATAACGAGGTGGCATTACACGCCCTCAAAACTACACTCCCTATTCCCCGCAACCTCCACACAATGCTGGCGCTGCCACTCAGCAGTGGGCACCACCTCGCATATTTGGTGGTCATGCCCAGTGATACAAAAATTCTGGACACGCGTGGCGGGCCTGATCCACGCCATACTCAAGATAACTGTCCCCTTAGACCCAGACACATACATATTCCTTCTCACCCCGTACGGCTTACCGAAACATACGGCGGCCCTGCTCATACATCTGATAACAGCTGCGAACCAGCTTATTCCAGCCTTATGGAAACAACCAAACCCCCCCCCGACCATACGCGAGTGGATACAAAAAGTAGAAAATACCAGAAGTCTAGAAGAAACGTGCTATGCCCTATCAAACCAATACCAACAATACACAGAGACCTGGTATCCCTGGACCCAATACCTCCGCCAGACCACTTAGAGACCGAGGACACTCCACCCCCCTCCCTCCCCGGGAATAGGAGCCGGCTCACATAGAACCGTGGGGATGTAGGTAGAGGTAGTAAATCCCCAATATCACTCCTATCACTCCTATCCCTACATACCTAACGCACAGACACAATCTCATATCTGATCTTGTACTGCTAAATGTATGATTGTATGATTCTATGATTATCTGACCAATGTAATACCTACGTTCTGTACCATGCACTTTCATATACCTGTCAAACTTAAGTGATGAAGATGCTGTATAATGTACTGACTTTAAATAAAAAATAAATAAAAAAATTTAAAAAAAATAGCCAAATATAGGACCATAAGCACCATAGTGGTTGCTAAGTGGGAAGAACAAGTTTGAAACTGTTCCCCACGTTGTGTTCCAGAATAACACTCAATAAACGGTAACACTGAACATTGCAATTGCGCCCTTCCAGCACTCATTGAGTTAAATCAAGGTCAAAATGTGCTAATGGATACTTCACAGATTACCATTGGGATCAGATAAAACTCCTGTTTTAAGCCCTTGGCAGCAGCTCGATGTAGTCTCACATGAATGGAGAGCCGTGGAATTTGCAGGAGCAGTGCTACAGGGTGGTCTGATTTTCCTTTTAGGATTACGCAGAAAAGCTTGTAATTCAAAGACACGGTTTCTGTTCTAGCAATTTAATGTGGGAAAACCGTCAAAGAAGAAATTTTATCTCTCCAGCGATTTAACCAGTGCTCCATGCCCGATTTAAGCTTAGTGAGGGGTAGTAGGACAGGGTGTGAGGGAAAGCACAGGAATTTGATTGAAGAATAATACCATGTGTTTTCTGCATAAAGCATCATCTCTGTTTCTTGAAAATCCTCATTTTATGTAAACAGAAATCATTACATTACGCATGCATTATTTGCATATCAGACTGTTCCCACCCACAGAGGTAAATCAGAACTGAAATGCAAGTATGGAGTCACAGAAAATCATTTCTGCCTCCTATGGGTGATGCTACAACAGTGTGACCTATTCTCTTCTTCGGAATGGCAAGCAAGGACTGATTTATGTCCTAGGTCAGGGGTGGGCAACATTCGGCATTCAAGATGTTGTGGACTAGATCTCCCATAATGCTCTTACAGCCGTGATGCTACCAAAGCATCATGGGAGATTTAGTCCACAACATCTGAAGTGCCAATGGTTGCCTATCCCTTGGCTAGGTCTTGATGGGTAGAGAGGCACCTTACTAGACCACTCAATTTAGGCCCTTGGTGCTTAGTGCCGCTACTCTCACATAGGTACACTGGCAAAGATAAATGGTGATATTAAAATTAATAAGTAACTCCAACATAATTAATTTTCTTAGAGGAACACTCAAAGCACCATAACCACTACATGTCCCCTGGTATGGTCCAAGCATTTTAATATATTCCCATCCATGCAAGGAGACGACTAGATGCAGGGGTTGTGACCTTAGACAATGGAGGAACCTAGATAAGTTGTCAAACTGTTCTTAAAACATTTTGGCTACTAGGAGCATAATACAAACATACAAAATTAAGCCCTGCGCTCAAACTTCCACTAAGGCTGTGAATGTTTGTATATTTGTATTACACAGCCATGTTATAATGCTGCCGCCCACCCCATGTGTCCCCTATTAAGGGTTAATAAATATGTGTGGTTTTAGAAAAATACCCCTCTCTGTCTCATTAGAGATTCTACCTTTAGCTGGAAGAAGCAAGGTGTATTGTTAGTGTAGGACTCACCTAAGAGATTTTGTCATGACGTGGCAGGTAAGCTTACACTTTAATGGCCATTGCAGTGATACTTAAAACATTATTTAAATGTGCCTATGGATATGGGATAGTGCGCAAGTAATGTTTCTCCATAGTTACAGCATAATCTTTAGCAGAAAATAACAACAAGCCTAAAGAATACACAAAAAGAACAATAATGTGTGGTAAGAGAGAAAGAGCCACAGAAGTTCCTACTAATTTATGTGTTTATTTATTTTACATTTCTTAGACAGTGTCCTTGGCCAACGCATTTTATAACACAATGTGATTCTGCACGGATGAGAGCGGTTATAAGGTACAATATGTATTGAGATCTAGTGTCATATTAAAGAACCTTGACATTCACAGCACTTTCTTGTTACAAAGACATTAGCAAGACAGCCAGAACGCTTATAAAGTGCAGATAATGGAGATTGAGATAAAACATAGCCGGGAGAATCATGATTACTACTTACTAAGTATTGCGGAATTTGTTGTCTTTGTATAAAGGGTAATTATAATAACCATAGTTATAAAAGAGAAAGCAAGGCAGTTAGTGACTGCACAGTGGAGATACAATGCGTTATTAACAGGATTTAGAATGGATTTTATTGGGATTCTTACTGTTTGTTGGTTGTATAAGTAATTACCCTAATCGCTACCTTTAACCACCATTGTAGTTCTGTCTATCGAAGTTAGTCTCTATTAGTTTTATACGCCTGCAGACACAGTTACAGCTCACTGGGAGTATCATGCGAACCCCCCCCCCCACCGGACGCAAAGAGGCCCCTGCGGGGCACACTACCACGAAAATTCCCACTTGGGCCTCGCCCAGGGTCAGAGACCACGCACAGAGGGTTGTAACCCCAGACATAGACACACCACAACACATGACGTACTTTAACTACAGCCTACGCCAGGCCATAACGTGACTTTACGGACCGCAATCTAGTTAAGATTAGCACCACAAATACAAATAGCATAGACATACGTGGGGAATGGAAACCTCGTGAAGACTGCCACATACAACCTCGAATACCCCAAGAACCCACACACCTGTGTACCTGCAGGTAAATACGACGGCCAACACCAGGCACACACCCCCGAACTAGGCCTGTGTATACTTAGACTACTGGGGGCGTCGACTCCGTGGCTGTCCTAGTACTTCCTAGGGAACGGTGCGGATTTGATACTCCACCCAGTTACACAGGACCCCCTCACATTGAGGGATTAACCCTCAAAGGGACCACATTTGTGGGACCAGACCCCTACAGTCCCCCAGAGCTGAACAAACACCAGACAAAGGTTAAGCTGACCACATAGAAGTCCACTGAAGGGGCACTACACCAACTGAGTGAACCCCGAACACCTCTCTTCCCTTCACACCACACCCTCCCCCCCCCTTATCCTCTACCCCTCCCCCCTACTTCAGGATTCGGGGAGCGCGGGGGAAACTGGGAGCTGGACCCAAGACACCATACAACACCACCCCCAACGTAACCTCGCTCACAACATGACATACATCCCTGCACCATTTCGCATCACGACTCAGAACTGCAGAGGCCTAAACACAGCTGAAAGACGCTCCCATCTCCTGCGAGAACTCGCGCGGGAGCAGGTCTCTATCGCCATGCTGCAGGAAACACACTTTAAATCTACAGACACACATAGACTGAAAAGCAGACACTACCCAGTCAACTACCACAGCACACACCCAACAACGCGTAAAGTAGGGGTAGCAATCCTCCTGAACGCCAACCTACAATTCAAACTGACCGACCAGCTATCCGACCCGAGCGGCAGATTTCTCTTCATTAAGGGCACAATTCTACAGAAAACATACACACTTGCCTCAGTTTATGCGCCAAACGCAAAGCAAGCGACGTTCCTCCGCAAGACGATCTCACAGCTAGCCACCTTCACAGAAGGGACGCTTCTCATAGGAGGGGACTTCAATGCCCCCCTGGACCCACTGTCAGACTCCTCGACAGGACACAGTAGCATACCACAAACGGCGATCCGAACTATACGGAAATCTCTCAGAGACCTGAGATTGGTGGACGCGTGGAGAGCCCTGCATCCAACGGACCGAGACTACACACACTATTCCTCTATCCACAGGAGATACTCCCGCATCGACTACCTCCTCATTCAACAAGAGGGTCTGCAAAGACTCCAGAAAGCAGAGATACACACCACTACGTGGTCAGACCATAGTGCTGTGACCATGCTCCTAGACTCCCCCATGTTCAAGCCCGCACAGACAGCATGGAGAATGAATGAGTCACTCCTATCCGACTTGGAGGTACAGACGCAATTAGCGGAACATCTCACCAACTACTTTAACGAGAACAACACAGGGGATATATCGCAGGTGACGCTATGGGAAGCACACAAGACTGTGCTCAGGGGGCACTTCATAAGAATAGCATCTCGAAAAAAGAAAGAAGCACAACAACGCCTAAATGAACTCACCAACCGCATAGCACAACTAGAAACGCTCCATAAACGAACGCAACTGGAGACACAATACCGTTCCCTCCTAGAAGCCAGAAACCAGCTAACGGAGCTGGTGGCCCGCAGACATCACAGAGCGACCCAGAGAAACAGAGCCTTCTATTACATCCATGCAAACAAGAGCGGAAGACTACTGGCTCACATGATCAAGAACCGCCAAGCCAGAGCTCAAGTACACGAACTGAGGACAACCAAAGGCACCCTCACGCAATTCCCAGAGGAAATAGCAGAAGAATTCCGAAAATATTATCAAACTCTGTACAACATAGACCCCACGACATCAGGCGACCGCCAAGACGACAGAATAGTAGCCACAACACAGTACCTCCAAAACTTTAGACCCGAAGCTCTTTCCTTAGAAGAGGCAAACGCGATAGAAACACCGATAACAACGGAAGAAATACAAGCGGCGATCAAACAAGCAAAAACCGGGAAGGCCCCGGGCCCAGACAGCCTACCGGCGGGCTATTACAAAAAATTCGGCGAATTACTAGCCCCATACCTGACAGGAGCGCTGAACCGACTGCAGCAGGGAGACAAGTTCCGACAGGAAACTCTAGCAGCAACGATAACAGTAATACCAAAACCGGGAAAAAAACCTGAAATCTGCGGAAACTATCGACCGATATCCCTCATCAACACAGATGTGAAGCTATTCTCAAAAATTCTAGCGACCAGACTACAAAAATACATGCCACGCTTGGTACACCCGGACCAAACAGGATTCATCCCGGGACGAAAGGCTAGGGACTGCACCCTCCGGGCGTTTGCCATCCAAAACCTAGCGCTCAACGCAAAAACGAACCTCTTAATGCTCTCCACAGATGCTGAAAAAGCGTTTGATCGGGTGACATGGAGTTTCATGATGGAGACCTTGGTCAAATTGGGATTAGGAAAAGACATGCTCGCCTGGATAGAGGCACTTTACTCCGCCCCAAGCGCCAGAATACGGATAAATGGAGCACTCACAGACAACCTCCAAATACACAACGGCACCAGACAAGGCTGCCCCCTGTCGCCACTCCTATTCGCCCTAACCCTGGAACCGTTCCTGGCTAAAGTACGACAAACACCAGAAATCCAAGGATTCAAACATAAAACCCAAGAACACAAGGTTGCTGCATACGCAGACGATATGCTCTTTTTTATAGCCAACCCACTTCACACGCTCCCAGCCTTGATGGAAGAATTTGAGGCATACGGACGGATATCGGGCCTAAAATTAAACATGTCGAAATGCGAAATTTTAAACATTGCTTCGCCAACGGCCGTGCGGGAAGAAATCCGACGCAGATACCCTTTCCACTGGTGCACAGAGCAAATGCGCTACCTAGGAATCTGGATAACTAGTAACCCAAAGGAACTATATCGTAGGAACTATACCCCCCTTCTCCACACAATCCTAACTGACCTCAGGAACTGGAATTATGACTACATCTCCTGGCAGGGCCGCATAGCGGTAATTAAAATGAACATCCTGCCGCGGCTATTATACCACTTCAGCACCATTCCCTGGCACATACCACCGGATTTCTTCACAACACTTAAAACAGCGGTAATAAAATACGTATGGAAAGGAGAGAGAGCACGTCTGCGCCATGACAAGCTATGCCTCCCAAAAATGTGGGGCGGGCTGGCTCTGCCGGACATACGAAAATACTATCACGCAACCATACTCCAACGAATCTGGGAATGGCACGCGGCGACAGCAACCAAACTATGGGTGGCCCTAGACAGGGAGAGCACGAACAAGGCCCTATACACGTACATATGGCAAGGACTGACAGACGCTAAACAACACCTGAGTAATGAATCCCCCATTATACAGACGCTGAAAACTTGGTCAAATCTAAGGAAGAAACAACACTTATCACCCCAACCAAGCCCTCTAATTCCACTGATGCACAACAAAGCGATAGGAGGCGGACTGCAGACAAATGCGTGGCCCATAACATCAGAGGGAAACTTCATCCCCCTGAAAGGAGCACTGAATAACGCAGGACTGAGAACTTTACGAGAATGGTCAACCACAGAACAACACACGATGATGCATAGATACCACTATGCACAACTAAGACATTTCTACCACAACCTACCCAATAGGGAGGCAGTACACAGGGACACGACGTGGTTCGAACATCTATGCACCACTGAGGCAGATGTACAAGGAAAAGTATCCGGCATATACCAGCAACTGATCACAGAGGACCATGTAAGGAGGAATGCCTTCCAAAGACAATGGGAAGACCTCACCGACAGAACCTACTCAGAAGCTCAATGGGGACAGATACTCATCCTCCAACACAAAAGCTCAATTAGCACCAGGTATCAAGAAGTAAACTACAAACTGATATCCCACTGGTACAGGACGCCTGCACTACTGCATAGAATATTCCCGGGAGTCCCAGAGACGTGCTGCAGATGCGAAAACGGAACAGGCACCCTCCGCCATCTTTGGTGGGATTGCGCCAAAATCAAACCATTCTGGATGGAAATTAAAAAGGAAATAACAACAATACTGGGGGACATACCCGACCTCACCATAGAAATGGCGCTTCTACACTACACCGAAAGCTCAATAAGCCAATACAAAAAATCGATTTTACGACACCTACTCAATGCGGCCAAGGCACTGATCCCAATGAGATGGAAACAAACTCAACCTCCCACCGTGACGGAATGGCTACAGAGAATAGAAGAAATCCACACCGCGGAGGCGAGATACGCAGACCTACTAGGGAGAAGCACTAAGCATGTCGAGCTCTGGAGACCGTGGTACACATACCTAGCACAATCCAGAACCTAGCAAACCCACAATGAGACTCGCGGCACTCGGGGACCCCCGCGCAGCCCGGCATCCACCCTAACCATACTTTTTCCCTCCCTCCCCACCCCCCTCAGCTCCCCTTCCCCTCCCCGCCCCTCCCCACACTCTCGCTCACTCACCCTGAGAGGACCTCACACACCATGAAAAAGTTATATGAGACAATAGAAGCCGACAGACACAGAAACGGAATAGCGACAAAAAGGTCACAAGACAAAAAAGCGACACGGACCACCCCAAAAACACTAGCATTAAGTGTGACCAAGCGAAAAACAGGGAAGCTAGAAGGAGCTACGCGCCCATGAGGGACTAGCCCCCCACAATAGACCAGTATTGATAACCGATAGAAAGCAAGAAGTCACGCAATCAAACGCGGACACAGTAAGGCTAAAAGACATGACCGAACCTAATGCGGAACAAAGAGAGTAACATGACACATACTATATAGGACAAAGGACAGGACCACGGACCAAACGGGACTCAACACAGACACAGATTACAGAAAAGGGAAGGAAGGGCAGAAGCAAGGTACACACACCATTCCCCCTCTGTGTACTCCACAGATAATCTCCATAACCCCTCTCCGACCTACCAAGCTAACTACAATTGCATGAGTACCCAATGTACAAACTAATACGACATGGGACCTATAAGTCCATTCACATTCTGGGTTTGATACGACTCGCTTATCAAAAACGCATTTAGCGCATTTCCTATGATTGATAATTGTACATGTTACGCAATTGTTACTGTATTTTGTATTATATACGCCAATAGATACCTGCGTGTATCACTGTTCCCTATTTCCTTTATTTGCAAAACAAATAAAAATCTTATTTACAAAAAAAAAAAGTCTCTATTAGTTTTCACATCTGGATCATATCATGGGAGGGAAAATGTGTGCAAACAGCGATTTCAGTAAATGGTTGCAAGTTGCAAGAAAAATGACACGGCAGAACAGCATAGCATTCTTATGACGTGCACAGGTTTTTGTGTTGTTAAGGGTCAGGAGTACATTAAAGCAAGGAATCAGAAACACAACAGTTGCTGCTTGCTCTAAAGCATTCATAAGTACCCTGCCGGATGTAAGGCCCGTCTCTGCTGAGTTTTAGCGTGGCAAAATTAAGTGTGTGTTAGGTACCAGATGTCAAGCTCAGGCACAGGTGTGTCTGCATTGTTACCGGCATGATGGGCCCGGCTATGCATCGGTTTAGGCACAATGGTCGTAAGTGTGTCCTTAGATGTCAGACACTGTCTAAAGTGTGAGTCAACCACTGTTATGGTGAGTCACTCAAAAGCGCAAGTAGTAAGAGGGGCTTGGTCTTCTGTTAATGGGTCCAGTGCCCACTGTCGACCCCTACAGCTGGGTCATTAGGCTCTTGGTATTCACCATGGGTCCAGGGTGTCATGCCCCCTCCCCGTATGTCGTCCGTATCAGTGTCGAGGAAGCAGTAAGTCATGTGTGGAGAGCACTGTGTCTGCCCTTCCGGGAGAAGAGTAAGGGAGGGAGGGAGGAGAAGAGAGGGAGGGCAGGTGGGGAAGCAGGGCTTGAAGGGGGAGGGAGATCGGCCCATGTCCCGCAGGGCACGCTGAGCAAATGGGACCAAATGCCGGTCAACTAGCCTTCTATGCCACCCTCTCTGCAGATCTGCGAGCCATGTATTCAATCCAAGGAGCCCATAATCGTGTGCAGCATTCTGCTGTACCCCGTAGGTCCGCCGTGAGGGTTTACATCATGTAGATCTCTTCCACTTTCTCTATCCAGTTTATTATGGTCGGGACGTTCTGTGACTTCCATCTGGCATTAGGCTTTTGGCGGCGTTTAGAAAGTGTTGTGTAAGGGACTTCTTGTACGCCGCAATCAGCATCTTGGTATGCTGGAGCAACATTGGGAGGGGTTGCAACTGTATGTCCGAATCCAGAATTTCTGTCAGCATTCTATGTATTTCTTGCCAAAAAACAGCTATTGGTGGGCACGACCACCAAATGTGCAGATCCGTACCTTCAGCAGAGCCGCACCTCCAACATTGGGCAGTCGGTGTTACGCCCATGCGGAACAGCCATGCCAGCGTCCTGTACCAACACGTCAGGAGTTTATAAGTAAGTTCCTGTATTTTTGAGCTGATTGGTTAGATAGTGTGGACCCCGTGGCTTGTTCCCACTTTGATTGGTACTTTGTCGGTGGGTTCCATGTGGCCGTGAGCAGCGTAGCATAAAGAGCAGTGATACCCTGCTGCAGGTGCACTCTGTCCGAACACCATGCCTCGAATTGGGTTAGGTCTATATATACAAGATGCTTCCCAGGTAGCGTGTGGTAGTAGCGCTGGATTTGGAGGTACCTAAATATGAGCAGCACTGTCATGCGATTCAGTGTCAGTAGAGCTTCCAAGGGTTTCAGTTGCTCGTTGCCCAGTTTCCCAGATGCAGCCTGTCTGAGCTTCCGAACCCTGCCACGTCCCGTGGTGCCAACCCGCCCGCTGTGACTTAGGTTATAAGCCACTGGTGTCAAAGGAGCTGGGTTGGTCGGAAGCTTCAGCTTGTATCGCATACTGCCTTATGACCGTATTCAAAGACCTGAAGAAGGCCTGGGGGATCTGGATCGGTACAGGAGTCACGGCAGCAGGTTCATTTTTACGGCGTTGATCCTGCTGAACCATGATACGCACAACTTTTCCCACCTCAGCATGTCCGATCGCAGCGTCTGTAGCAGGGGTAGGACATTTTCTGGGTACAGTCGGTCCTGGTCTTTCGTCAGCCAAATTCCAAGGTACTTAATGCAATGTGTGCACCACTAAAATGAGAAGTTAGTTTTTAATTGTTACAACAACCCTGTGTGCAGTGAAAGTGCTTCAGATTTGTCTGTGTTTTAAGTTTGAGATCTTCCCATATTTCTTGAATGCTGCCAGAAGATTTGGTAGCGTGACTTTTTCTCGACAAAAAACAGCACCAGGTATCAAGAAGTAAACTACAACTGATTTGTCTGTGTTTTAAGTTTGAGATCTTCCCATATTTCTTGAATGCTGCCAGAAGATTTGGTAGCGTGACCTTTTCTCGACAAAAAACAGCAGATCATCTGCGAATGCTGCTACCTTGTGGACCACTTCTCCGAGTGCGAACCTCGTTATGCCCCCGTCCCGACTGACCACCTCCAGGAAGGGCTCCAAGTGGGGACAAACAGGCATCCCTGTCTGTTCTGTTCCATATTGTTAATGCTGGGGGTAAGGCTCCGTTAATCCGTAAGCGAGCCCTCAGGGTTGTATACAGGGCCGTTATCCATGTCAGCATGTTGGGGCCGAAACCCATTTTTTGCAGGGTCGCCTGCATCAACTGCCAATCTACCCAGTCAAACGCCTTTTCGGTGTCTGTGAAAAGGAGGAGGCCTCCACGGGAGACGTTCCAGGTGGCATGCATGATGTTGAGGGCCCTTATTATTATTATCCTTAGCCTCACGGCCCAGTATGTAGCCAGTCTGGTCAGGGTGCACCAAATCCGGAGCGTTGCGGCCTATGCGGAGGGCCAGGACCTTAGTGAACAGTTTAAGATCCACATTGAGTAGTGAGATGGGTCTATAGCTGGTGTAAGAAGTGGGATCCTTTCCCTCCTTCTGTATAACTGCTATGGTAGCCATGAGGGTGTCTTCCGGGAACCGTCCGCCTTTTAATATAGAATTTAGGCCTGCCAGGAGCTCGGGCAGGAGAATCTCCCCAAAGCTCCTAAGGTATCGGGCGGAAAGCCGTCCGGGGCCTTGTTCATTTTGGCATTCTTTAGGGCCCCAGTGAGTTCCTCCAGCATAATGGGGGAGTCCAATTCCTCCAATTGGGCTTGTGTCAGTGTCCGTTGCACATGTTGCTCAAGGTACTCTCGCATCTGTGTCAGTCTCTGTTGGGTCGCCCCCGTCTGTGTGTCCACCGGCAAATTATAACGTTTTGTGTAGAAGTCCTGGAACTCTGCCACAATTTTGTCTGGTTGTTGTGTAAGGGATGCGCCGGTTGTCTTGATTTTAGTGATCTGGGACATACGTTGCTTCTTTTGTAGCATTCTCGCTAGCATGCGGCCGCATTTGTTTGAGTGCTCGTAGAAGTATCTACGTGATTTGCAGAGTGCATGCGCCAGTTTTTTGGACAGCAGTTGCCTCCGTCCCCTTCGAGCTTTCAGGAGGGTCCGTTAAGTGTTCTCTGTAGGTGAGGTCCTGTGCTCTTGTTCAAGTTGCGTGGTCCATATGTAGAGGTCCGACAGGTGACTACTGAGCTCCTTTTTGCGCTTGGAGCAGATCTATATAAAATGGCCCCTATTACACATTTATGGGCTTCCCACCATGTCAATGGTGTGATCTTGGGTATTGTTGACTTCAATGTAGTGCCTCAGCACCTCTCTGGCTTCTTCGTGGGCCAGTGTGTTGGCCAGGATCTGTTGTCTGCCCCTGGGCTTGAAGAGCGGTGAGCCTAATATGGCCAGGACCGGAGAGTGGTCTGACCATGCAGCTGTCCGAATGTCACAGGCATGAAGGAGGTTCAAGTATTCCTGTGAGATAAGGATATAGTGTAGGGGTGGCTGTGTCCATGGTGCACTGGTGAGTAGTAGGAGAAATCCTTAACCTTTGGTCAGGGATGTATTTACCACAAGGCAAACAAGGCATTTGCCTAGGGCGGCACTTTCAGGGGGGGGTGCCAAAAAACGCCACCCCAGGCTCTCAGACAAATACCTTGTTTGCCTCGTGTTCTGGGGCTGTCCACCTTAGTGTGATTGAGTGTAGCTGTCAGTGTGTGTCTGTGAGTGAGTGAAAATGTGTATGTGTCTTTCAATGAGAATGGGTGTGCCTGTGAGTGTGTGTCAGTGTGTGTCTCTCAATGAAAGTGTGTGTTGGTTAACCAGTAGCCAATGACTGTGTATCTGTCAATGAGTGTATATCAGTGCATCTATCAATGAGGGCATGTGTCTGTCAGTCAAAAAAGTGGCCTTGACATCAATTGCAAATTTAGATTTTGTGGGTGCCCGAATTTAGTCATGCCTAGGGCAGCACAAATCCAAAATACACCACTGCCTCCGTTTGGAAGACCCGCCAAGTGTCTGCCAGGCCCGTGGTTCAGAGCACTCTATTGGTGGTCCTAAGGCAGAGTTCCAAGAGCAAACTGCTGCCATTAGAGGTATCAATCCGTGGGCCAAGTGAGACATTGAGGTTCCCGCTGCCACAACCAGGAACCCCTCCCTTAACTGGTCGAGGAGTTTCAGAGTCTTGGAGAGGAAGCCGTGTTGCTTCGCGTTCGGTGCGTATATTTAGGTGAAAGTTTATCGTCTATCAGCGATCATGCCTTTGAGGAACAGGTAGCGTCCAAACGGGTTTGCCTTTGTCTTGGAGCAGCAGAATGGTATATTTTGGACAAATAGTATCGCCACTCCAGCCTGCTTGGCATCCATGTGGTTGGCGAAGTACCCAGTTGGGAATCTCATGTTGCACAGCGTGGGACATTCAGTCTCCTTGAAGTGGGTCTACTGGAGGAATGCAATTGAGGCCCTTTCAGTCCACAGGGACCATAGCAAATGTGACCGCAGTTCCGGTGCGTTCAGCCCCCCCACGTTGTTGGTCCACAGTTGATGTGGCGCGGGGAGAACCCCCCACCCCACGACCGGGCCCTTTAGTGTACTGAGCGGGAGGAGAGGAAGAGGCAAAGGAGATGAGAGGAGGAAAAAAGGGAAGAGCGAAGTAGACAAGGATGGGATGGGTGTGAAGTCTAAGTGTAGGGAGGGAGGTAGTTTCATCAGAGGAAGATGTCAGTAGCCCATCTGGACTAGAACTATGTACACTTATAGACTTGACTGTCTAGGGGGCGTTTGAACAGGTGAGAGTCCCCACCCCGTTATGTGACAACACCACCTGCACCCCACCCTACACCCTCTTGTAGTATGTCTGAGGAGCCGTGCGCGGTACCCGCACGAAATGGATGAGCTCTACTGCTCGTTTCAAATGAGAACTGTGTATTGTGTCTCTATGCCCCCACTCACCCACCCCTGGCCTGTGGTGCAGGAGATAAATGTAAGCTAATAACAAACAACATTCAATGTCAAGGAGAGATGGCCTTCTGTGACTTTGGTTAGGCTGGAACCAACGGCAAGGTGCCCCACTCTGTGTCAGCTCCCACAGTTGCTACAACATCAACAACATCCCTTGTGACAGAGAGACTCCCCGCAGCCACAGCTAAATGTCCTCAGCCCCAACCCCACCAGCGCCCCCAGCCATGGCCCCAGAGCCCTCAGGTCCCCAGCCCCCCCACCCCCCTACACAACCCCCAGCATGCAGAAATAAAACTCTTCTCCCACCCCCCATATGTAGGATAAAGTCGAGCCCAGGCCCTCAGGTAACCCTAGGAGTGCTGAAGGTATCCGGGGTGTGGAGGAGGGGGCAGGGGGGTCTACCATGTCCACTCTGCTGTATCCACAAGGCCCATAGCCAAGTCCCGAGAGCGGGGAGGGGAAACCGGAGGGAAAGCACAACACGGTCTCTTCGTCAGCCACCCCACCTATGCTCAATAACCCCCTATAAGCAACCATGTTACCCTTCCCAGACGGGGCCCCAGTATCTTACTTCGAGGTCGACTTCGCAGCCATTGAGATATGGCTATCGTATTCTATTCCTCTGCTCCAGCAGGCCTCCCCACACCCGCATGGGGGGCTCTCTCTCTTAGGATGTCGCAGGCGGGCGGCCCCGAACTTCGGGCCCTCCTCTCGATGCCAGCAGGGTCTCCAACAGCCAGTTGCGGATGCGTATGTTGGGGATGCGGAGGGTCCTCAGAACTGGTGTGACATCATCTGGCCAGCAGATATGCAGCCAGGTGTTGCCATGCTTTACTTGCAGGCTGAAGGGTAATCCCCGACGGTAGGCTACATTCTTCTCTCGTAGTGCTGCAGTCAGAGGCTGAAGTGTTAGACTGGAGAGGTCTTGAAAGAGTGCAATCTCCGAGGGATAATGTCTGTTCCTCTGGCGTTAGCAGCTATCAGTTTCTCTTTAAGGCTGTAGGCATGGAGGCAGCACAGGACATCTCAGAGTTTCCCATCCTGGCATTGTGGTCCCAGGGCCCGGTGGACTTGGTCAAATTGAACATCCACAGGACACCTCTGGCCAAGTATCTGTGTTTGGCAAGAGTGTGGAGTAGGGCTCCGGTAGGCCCGAATCCTGATGTTTTGGCAAGGGCTGCGGTTTTCGAGGTCTTCTACCTGGAGGTGCAAGGTGAGGAGCAGGTTGCCCTGGCGGGTGGTTGCGAGCTCAGCGGCTCTGTGCTGTGTGCGGCTTGCTTGTGCCTCGGTTTCTAGGGCTTCCACCCTCACTTCCACCGCGGACAGGTCTGTGCAAGATCTCCTCCTGCACCCCCACCCTGAACTCCTGCAGCAGGCATATCCTCCGAAATCATAGCCAATTCTTGCCTTATTTGAGCCAGTGCATTATCTTGGATGCAACAACTGTACCCCCACACTCTTGCAGCGGGTCTCCCGTTCTTTCCATGCTTGGAGACACGGGTGCCATCTGGTCCAGGGGCCTAGCCCCCCGGAGTTCAGCCAGTGTGGACACGAAATCATCGATAGTGCGGGTGTGTCTGCGTGGGGAACCCGTCTGCGACGTTCCCTGGTTAGTGGGCTTCTTAGTACGAACCATTTTTTCTTGGAATTCAGCTAAACTATCGCTTTTTTTGTGGCCAGGGGTATGGAGCTTAAGCACTACACGTCCTATCTCGGTCCGGCTACGCCCCCCTTATATACTTTTTAAATTCATTTTTTTAATGCAAAAATAGAGGGATGGAGCGACTTCAATAACCATTGTCCTGCATAACTGTGGGATGGTGTAATAATAAACAGTGTTGACTTTGTGCCATATGCAGCATCTTGCACAAGGTTTACTTCCACATAGTTACATATATAGTTGCATAGCTGAAAAGAGACTTGCGTCCATCAAGTTCAGCCTTCCTCACATATGTTTTTGTTATTGATCCAAAAGAAGGCAAAAAACCTAGTCTGAAGCTCTTCCAATTTTGCAACAAACTAGGAAAAAATTCCTTCTTGACCCCAAAATGCCAGTCAGATATCTCATTGGATAAAGCAGCTATTAGAAATGATATTCCTGTATGTTATGTTTTTGGAGGTATTTACCTAGTTGCTGCTTAAACATCTGTATGGACTCTGATAAAACCAGAGAATTCCATATCCTTATAGTTCTTACTGTAAAAAAATCTTTTCTTTGCCTTAGATTAAATTTCCTTTCTTCCAGCCTAAATTGCGTGACTTTGTGTCCTATGTATAGCCCTGTTTATGAATAGATTTCCAGATAATGGTTTGTATTGGCCCCGAATATATTTGTATAATGTTATCATATCCCCTCTGAGGCGCCGTTTTTCCAAACTAAAGAGAGTTACATTTTTTGACCTTTCTTCATAACTAAAATGCTCCATTCCTTTTATCAATTTTATAGCTCATCTCTGCACTTTTTCTAGTGCCATGGTATCTTTCTTTAGAACAAGTGCCACGGCTTTGCTGTCACTCTACAGCACCCCTCACTCCCCCCTCCCTGGACCAGTTAGGTTTATCCCGGTCCCTACCAAGACCGATCTTATATTTTACAAGGCCCTGGTACAAGATGGATGATGCTTGTTTCAGTGTTAAGCTCTTTGAGGAGGAGAAAGGACAGAGATGGAAAGAAGGCTTTCATGAAGCATTTCATGCCCTCTGCAAGCAGTTCTAGAAGAGGCTAAGCGATCGAGTTGCTCAACCAACAGTTATTTCCGCTTTTGCCAAGCCTTTTCTGAACCCCCTTCCTCAGTGGGGAACTACTAAGGAATCTACACCCGAGCACAGTCCACAAACATGGGAGCTCTATCGGTGCCCAGAACTTTTCATAACCTGGAGATAGGTTGGGTGGCCCACTGACATGAGATGCTGGTTTCTATTAATGGCTGGGGCTGCTCAGGAGTAATATGGTGGACATAGGTGTGCGCACGGGGTGTGCTGGGTGTGCCTGGCACACCCTAATCCCTGCGGCATGCCTATGGATTGAGACCGGCAGGGGAGATCTCAGGATCTCCCCTGTTGGCTCATGCAGAACCGGCGTTATCCGAGCGCCAGCTCTGCTCTAAGCCTCCATGGGCTGATGGGGAGATCAAAGACCTCCCCACCGGCCCATAGCAGCATGGAGGGAGGCAGGAGAGGACCCGGGGAGCTCTAGCCAGCAGCTCCGCCGGGTTCACCATGGCAACGCTCAGATCTCGCGAGAGTGAACTCTAGCCCCGCAGGCTGCGGGGCTAGAGTTCACTCACCACTGGACCACCAGGGATGGCAGCAGCACAGATATTAACTAAACGGCCCACCCCACACAATACACACAAACAGCACACACACACATACATCACCCTTACACACGCAACACACACTAACAGCACCCACACACACAGCATCCTTACACATACACACACAGCACACACTAACAGCACCCTTACACACACACACACACACACTAACAGCA